CAGCTTTATGGAACCAAACTTGTTGGACAATTTTTTGTCTTCAAAAATAATACACTTATTTAAATGTTGCTGATGGGTTGGCAACTACTCTTATTTTTACGAAGACCATATCCTCATGCAGAAACTTTACTTTTCAACCTGTATTATTTTATTATATAAATGGCCAAAGTGCGAAACCACATACCTCCGATAGCAACGTTGTAGACTTCCTGTCATACTTAATGTTTTCTTTGGAAAACTAGTCAACATAATTTCTTGAAAATTTTCTTGATATTCCTTCTTTAACAGCAAAATATTCTATATAAATTTCAAGGTATGAAGTCAACTTGTTTTTCTTCGAATAAATAGCATAAGAGCAGAAATTTTGAAAAATCAAAATGGAGATACTCATACGTGGTTCTGCACTTTGGCCAATGTGGTCCTTTGAATTAAAACATACAAAACGGTGCTTTATATTTATTTTGTTTTTTATTACATTTTTCTCTTAAAATGAGTTACAGGAAACTAGGCACAAGGGTTTAGGGGAAAATGAAGTTTTTACATCTGTCACAGCTTTCGCTTTCTAAAAAAATTCCGCAGCAGAGGAAAAGACTGTATTCTTCACAAAAACCTAGTAATTTATTAAAAACTTTAACTGACACCAATGCCACCAGAACTTTGCTCAAAATATTTTTCAATTTCTCACGATTTTGAAGAAAAACATGGCAGAAGTTACTTGATAACAATTGAGTAGGGTACTTAACATTCTGAAACAACTTTAAAAATGAGTTTTCAGCTATGAAAATTCTCTTGAACTCTTGATGAAAACAATATGAAATGTGCTGTTTTGGATTCTAAATAGACATTCCAGACCCTTCCTTGTTATGTGGTGGATTAGTAATGCTAAAATGAAAAAAATAGTTCAATCCATCTGAGAGCTACAGAAAAACCAGCATACTTGTAAGTCCTGCCATCTTCTTTATCAGTTTTGAGAAAATTAAGCAGTTTACAAAATTAGAGTCAATGTTCTGAATTGCCGTACCTTAACACATATTTTACTGAAGAGATTTTACAAATAGTCAACCTCAAAAATTACACTTAAACTTCAGACTGTTGAATGTGCGGATACAGTAAAACTAATCTAATCACTCCACCCTGTTTAACTCATTCACTCCGGAGCATTATAGCAATATCTCAATATCAAGGGCACCAAATTGTGACTACTAAACGAATTGTATGAGACAAGCATCGCTATTTCACAAGCAGGATGTTCTAATGATGGAGATGTTAACCATCTTGGTAAAATCTCCTCATTTGTGAAGATTTGATCATTGCTCTAACAGATTAGGAATACTAACTTGATCTCTCTTACACGAGGATATGGATGAGAAGCATGGAGCTTGTGGCAAGTTTCAACCCTAGGTTAGTTGAGGTCAAAGCAAGATTTGCTCAACATTTTTGAGATTTTGTCACGGATTTCAGGTTGAAAAGGCTGATAAGAACCTTAAAATCTTTGAAAAGTTGATCGCAACAGAAATGTGACATTTTTGCTTTTGTAGGAATTGCCCAAACCAATTGAAACTGCACACTCGATAAATGACACATACAATGAAAATGTAAGAGGCAAGAGGTGGTAGTATGCACTCCTGCCAAGTAGAAAATGAACTAACTTGAAGAACTCAAGACAAGGCCAACCCATTGCACTTCTTTCCTATTCTCCTCCTCCTCACAAAAATGATCTATCTTTGACTGAAGTGAGGGCTATCTATCAGGCGATTAATAAAGCAAAAAAATTCACCGCTATACGGCAGAATTTCCCATTAAAATAGATGTATTTCAGCAGATTAGATCATTCTGTCATAACGCCTCTAATAATTGTATGATGAAGAAACCAAGGATATGCTCAAGCTTAGTTCACTCAGTAGTTTATATTCACAAATCAAATCCATAAAATTTCAGACTTCAACAAGTTCTCTATTACTAAGGATTGGATCTCCTCAAAAATTTAAAATGATGTCAAAAAAATATTTCTTCCTTAGGCTAATTGAAAAGTGAATCCTGAAATTTATTGTTGATGGATTGCGGACCTGAACATCAAGTGAGTAAAAATGAATAGGAAAAAAAAAAAATAATAATGTATTTGAGGCAATGTATAAAAAATGGATGACAAAAAACTGGGAAGCTGAATTTTGAATTTTAGGCTGGTCAAAAACATGTGGAGTTCTTTGACTTGAACTCTGTCTAAGTATGGCTTGATTCTCAACCAATATTGCAGCGTATTCAAGTATAACATTTTCCTTACAATGCATTCCTGTATTGAAAAAGATCCTGTTAACACTGGAAAAATCGGACTTTCAATAGCCATTTTGAAACAAGGGTACCGGCAATGTCATGGGCTTCAGAAGTTTTCTTCTTCCTTCCAATCAATTATTTTTTCGAGAAGTATAGTTCAAATTCTTCATCTGATGTCATTCCTTCATTGCTTGAAATACATTTTATTTTCACATACTCCTAAGGGAATTTTTTAAATTAAATGATAAGACAATGAAAAGTCATGCTGAAGGACGAAAGTGGTATAAGAATGATGTAGTTGGCAAATAAATAAAGTAAAAGGGCAATGTTAACAGGCTGAAAGGAGCATGTAAGTCTTACTTCATATGTCATCGATGATAGAAAAAGAAAATCAGGGAAAAATGGTAAATGAGAGGCGTTTTTCCATTGACCTAACATTCTCCAACCTAGCTCGATTATCAAGTGAACCTCCAAGTTGCCTCATATTTTATCCCTAAATTTTTGAAAACCTCTTTATTCCCGAGGTGCAGCTTCAAACTTTACTAACATGGCCGCTTCATAGCGCTCCCGTACGCTTCGCGACACCCAACCGCCACAGGTGGCGATCCTGCCAGAGCTTCTTTGGCAATTCGTATTTCCTCATTTTCTGCCTCATGCCGTCAATCCACAATTTGGTAGGGCGTCTTATATGTTTTCTACCACTGGAAATTCAGCCCAGAACCCTCTTAGGCAACCTATCATCTGGTATCATTCCCATACCAGACAAGCTGTTTCGAGAGAAAGTCATGCTTGACGTTGTTTTCGCTGACAACTTAATTTTCAATTTATAATACTGTGAGTCTAAAATAAGGTCAATGGTAAAATATGGTCAAAATTTGAATTGGTAGTTTATGAGGCTAGCAGGTTTCATATAGAATGACCGAGGTGCAACTTTCACAAAAAACTGCTTAATGCTAGGTTTTGACAGACGCTCTGAGTCAAGAAATACCGTAGAAATGGCACAAGGAACCTTCAAGGGTCTGATAGGCCTGTCATTCCAATAGACAACAACAACAAAGCCATATTCAAGTACTTTTGATTCTACCAAAAAACTATGGTATTGATAGGTGCTGATTGGGAAGCTTTTATCAAATAGAAACCTTCTTTTTAACTTCGGTCAAAGACAATATTTTATAAGTCTACGGATTTGGTTCTTTTGTGAAAAATGCTATTAAACGGTTCTGTATGAGGTTCTTATGCAATGCTGTAATTTTCCCTTTTTCCTAAAAATACACAAGGAGGGGAGGTACTGCTATTGTCTTCTGTTTGATTCAAAGAACTGCGTCACAAGGTCTCACCATTTTTTTAGTGTTGTGCTGAGTTGTGAAACCGCGGGGACCCATCGATATCAAATTGCTTGTTAACTGCATTACGCTTTTGGAGACAAAAATCTCAAAAATGTATGAAGTTTCCGCATAGATTATGAAGTAAGAGTGCATTTAAAACTTTACCACTGCACTTATTGTGATTTTTAAGTCATTTTTTCATGGCATAACTCTAATTTTTGCTCTTGCTGAAATTTGCGATGGACCGGTTGTGTATGTGAATATCTAACTTGAGCTGATCTTTAAACTTCCTAATCCATTATTTTTTGTGTGAAATTTTGGGAGGAACTCATGTACAGACGATGCTTGTTTTCAGACCTTACCAACATGCCAACAGCAGATTTACTTAAGAGAAGCGTGGGAAACAGAGACTAAGAATCAAAGAATAAAAAGACGGCACATTCAAGAAGAGTAACAAGACTTGATTTCCCACAATTAGGACCATTTGGAAACTAGAGAGTCAAATCAAGTTAAGAGATTTTATCATCTTTCCACCAATTGAAATTTTCACAAATACTTGCCCCATTATTTAAATTATAAATGAGTCAGTACACAGAAAAAGGGACCATAGTCCACAAAAACTCTAAGTGGAACAATTGATTCCAGATTGCCAAAAATGCCAGGTACATCTGTTAGTAGCTTGCAGTTCAAAAATATAGTTTTGAGAGAGTCTAAAATCAAAGAATTAACAGTCAAAAAGTCTAGTTTGCCGTATTCAAGGTATTAAATAGGCAGTCCACAGAAAAAATGGATACAACTGCTCAAAGCTAATTTTTCAAGGCATTAAAGAGTGTCTTTTGTAGAAATCTCAAAAACTTATTTTTGGACTCGATTTGGGAAGTTGATTTTTGATACAACCCACAGTGAAACAAACCACTGGAAGAGGAAATGAAATTTTGATCTAAAACCGAGAATTTTTATGTTAGTTTCATCACATTTTCAAGGGTGTTTCTCACAGGAAAGATGAGAATATCTTACTAAGCCATGAATATTGGCCACTTTCAAACTTCTCCGTTTGTATCAACAAAGATATGAGCTTTCAAAGTTTCCACTTCATGTTTGACCTCTCCATTTGGCTCCTTTCACCAGTTAATCCTTTTTTGACAAGTTTTATTTGTAGCCTTAGTCAACCTTTGTTTTCTCTTATTTATCACTTAATTAGACACAAATCACTTTTGAAAATTTTGCGTCTGTGGACTAGGGTCTCTTTTTCATAAACGGTCACAGATTATAAAACGAATCATGTATTAATTAGATGGAGAGTGATGACTGAAATTTAAGCTACTCACCAGATTCCCAACTTTCTTCGCTTTCTTCTGACTCCTCTGAACTGGAGGAGTCAAGACTTGAGTCTACTTCTGTTGATTCGTTGATACCTCTCTGAACTCTTGACCAGGGAGTGTCGCGCTCCACTTGTTGCAGAATTAAGCTTACCTGAAAAACACAGGTGTATCTTTAGTAGGGGTCGGATAAAATGAATCAACTGTTTGAAGAATATCTTAACTCTTCGAGAACCAGGCTAGATTTTGGGAGCGCAAGCTCTAGAATTGAAATTGGTTGTATGCAAAAAAATTCGGAGTGCACTTTGTTGTAAGGGACCTATAGTTGGATTGCATTTAGCAAGAAGGAACCAGCGCGATTACAGTGTTGTAAAAATGCTGCTCCTTCACAATTATCCTCAGAATCTCTGAGAATAGCAAAAAGTTTTTGATTCCCACCAAAAAATTGTTAATTTTAAAGGAAAATAATTGTGCAAATGATAAAACTGTGCATATGTTAAGTCTTTTTTAAAGAAAAGAAGTTGCACGATTTTGAAAACACTGTAATCGTGCTGATTCCTTTTTCCTGAATGCGATCCAGTTGTGGTTCAGACCTTCCTCTACAGATAGAGCTAAAAATGTGAACACTTCCGAATGGACATTGTTGAATAATGGCAAATGCTGTGGGAAAAATATAATTGCTGATAGATGCTGCGGGAACAGTACAGTTTTGCTGGCTGATACTCCGTTGGTAGTAATGAATAGGTTAATGCAAAATTTGGGCCTTTCCATAGCCATTGGGTGAAAGTGACATTTTCGAGCCAAAAAAACGTAGGTACATTCTAACACTATAAAATTTATTTTCGGACTCAGTAAATTTCACTCACAAAATACAGGGCATTTTCTATTGAAAATTATTCTAATTATTTGACAGATTGCTAGCAAAAGCCAGTTAAATTCTGAACAAAAATTAGGAAATCACTCTTCGATGAAAAAAAATTGTTAATGAACATTTTAGAACCTTGGATTGAAGGAAAAAACTTTCGTTTGAGAAAAGACAAAGCTTATTGATTATTCTAAAAACATGTTTGCCACTTGACAAATCGATGGCTAAATTCTGAAAACACATATCTCAAAAGGCAGCATTGCCTATTTTCACGCGTACTTTACTTTTGAAGAGACGAAGACTCATTGTTAATTTTTCCAAAATTGATTCTACTTTACCTTGCCTCAATTACCCTCAACAGACTTCAAGATACAATAAAATTCATTAGTTTTTCATTTAAAAAGAAAATAAGATCGAACGTTTTGAAATGCTGTATTTGAATTACACGTTTTCAGTACAAGGTCATTATAATGTTGAGAAAAAACAATGGACCTGGATTTTCAAGAACTCACTTGTCTTTGAATTAAGGAAGTATGAAGGTATGCAGTGCATTTTTAGATTGTTATACGGGGAAGGAGAATAATTTCTTCTCAAAATTTTCTCAAAAGGTTACGCGCAAAACGGGCTCGGGGCAGATACCTTTGGAACTTGCCCTATTTATTCACCAAAGAATGCCCCATCTTTTCACAAAGTATCAAGCTCTTCAAAAATTTTGGGGAGACGCGGCGGGGGGTCAAAGTTAAAAATCAGCAAAATTTTCGCGAATTAAATACTCAAAAACCGAGAAGTTTTGAAAAACGCGATTTAGACAAACGTTTTCAGCGTGATGAGAGC